CTTCCTTTGCTTCTTTCTTTCTTTCCTTCTTTCTTCCTTTTTCATGAGCATCTTTCAACACATTAGAACATCCCACAAACACTAACTAAACGGTTACCATAAAAGAAGCCGCTTCCAGTAATATAAATAGTRAAATCTCAATTTAGCAAGCATCCTTTCAAAACCCCCAAAATTTCAAAGCCAATATATTTAATGAATTTTTAGACTCTATACGCATATCACTCACAGATTTCTATTYCTGCTAATATTGGCCTCCTTCTCTATATCGTTATCTTATTGTCATAGGCTTTCTACACATTCTTCTCCAGAATTCCTTGCCCGTTGRCTTCAATTCCTACAAAWTAGAGGCTTTGCAMCGRCAMGTGATGGCAGCCATGACAGGAGGCAGGAACARTTGAATCTGGTCTAATCTGATTTACATGAGAAAGAATTCAGTTTCCAAGGGGAAAAAGACTCTATTGTYGTGCCTCCTGTCATGGCTGCYATCACGTGATGGTGCAAAGCCTCTATAAGCTCGGTAATTCGGTAAATCCCCTTGTGGATTAGATTTCCTCCATATTTTTGGCAATGTCTTTCGAATATTTCTCTACGTCTTGAAAAAAGAAAAAAAATCTTCTTAAACGTGCATAATTCGCTATAAGCGAGTTCATAGTTTAAGAATCGATTCCAGTGCGCATGCGATTTTATCCCGAATTTCTCATCTTCTTTTGTTTAATTAAGAACAAAGAAGATTTAAAATAAGAAGATGAGAAATTCGGGATAAAATCGCATGCGCACTGGAAACGATTCTTAAATATGAACTGGCATATATTCCAGTTTCAAGTTCTCTGTTGCTTTTGGTTAGTATAGCGTCGACTTCGTGCAGAATATTCACGTGTTCCAGTGATTCCGTGGAATTTCAAATTGTTTGTATCGTTGGAGTATAAGTTGTGCATTCTTTACTTTTCTGTTGGTATTTGTGAATATTTAAACACTGATACGAGTCTAACCCTGGGTAAATGAGTCTGCAATCAAGAAACACAGCGGTAATTTGGAACTCGAAAATGGTTTATTAAGTAGAGTGGCATGCTTATCGCCGTCTCTCAGTTATGCAATGAAAATCTTCTACACCACTTCTTTTTTTTTTTTTGTAAATTAAAGAGGGTTAAAAATCTTTGGTACTCGAGGTACAGGCTACATGACATCAGAGTTAATTTGGCAGGAAATTGTCTGATCCTTATGTGGGCCTGTGGTAGACACAGGCYGTGAGAGACTGGATAGAAAACATGGTGTGAGTGGAGAAAAAGAGAGYGGCCCTTTTCAGTTGTTGTGAATTTGTTAGACAAGTTGTTCGTGAATAWAGGTCATTTGTGGAGATCCTGGGCCACACTTATCGAAACAAAAGATTTGTAGCCCGGAGGCAATCGTGACACCGGATGTATAGGTTAGATTCATTGTCTTTGTTGGRTATCGTATTTGATGACTTTGAATCTGTTTTTTACCTTTTTTGTTTTAATATTCTTGCGTTTCTAGTGCAAGCTTTCGTACTTATAAATTAGTGGTGTATTGCAAAGCCAGTATTTTGATTGGCTAGGCTAGTAGAGATGTATTGGATCCAATCCATTTGTGATAACTTATGATTATTGATAACTCAAAATAGGAAAAACCAAATTAAAATACGAATATGTACTTAACATTCTGAAGAGATTTTCTCGAATTTTTTTTTTTTTTACTTTGATAATTCTTTATCGCAGATCTCTAATTCACTAGCCTTGGGGTCRTTGTATGACATTGTCACTTCCAATATTGGCCTTGTTTCTTGAAATATTCCTTTRTTCTAGAAGTGATAAGCAAGATGACAAGAAAGTAGATAAAGGCGTCTGGTCTAAGTTTCCGAAATAAGATCATTTTCACTTCCTACGTTTCCTCTCTTTACAATCAACTTGGATGACTACTTCAGGCTTCAAAATCTTTAAATTTAATCCCAACTTTCAACAAATCAATTTATATCAACAAAAGGATTACGGTCCGTAGATAAATTGCGTTGCAAAAAAGTTCCAACAAATGCATTTTTTTCATTTTTTAAAAAATATTTTTTTCGACGAAAAAAAAAAAAACGATATTTTTTTGACCCCAAGAACATGCCTCGCTTCCTTGCAGTACGAAGTTCTGATTTCATAGATAAATAAATGACTCGTTTCTATCTTGTAAACAAGGCTTCTGCAAGGCTATTCACAGTCCAGCATTTTTACTTGGCGTGTATGTAATCCTCCAAGACGATTCTTAAGTCAGTGCGTTGGTTTAACACACATGGCAACAGCTGTCGGTAAAMATGCTCTTACGCCCCCGTACACACCTCTAGCATGATCAGCCTTCATTCGAGAAGCTCCAAGGATAAGCCAAGGACACGTACCCCAGATTGAATGCTTGTGATATAAAAGAAACCTAAGTAATGCTTGGTRCTAAAGAATCAAGAATGCTACTCTTAGTGTTTTGGAGCTTGCTTCTCTTCATAGACGTAGGTAAGTTGAACTCACGTCGCAGAAAAATATTTCTGGTAATATCAATAGCCAGAGCTCATGATGCACACTGCAAAAGTTTACTCACGTTTGCAAAGATAATTTAGAAATGTTTTCTGCATTGCTAGCGATAAAGCAACGATTGCCAGCGATACAGATTACTGCAGCATATGTCTTCTCTCAAAACAAGAACTGTTACAGAGCGTCTTCAACKTTTGAGCTTTTTTCTACAATATTTTGAGATTGCGTGGATGTACCACTGGGCATGATACGCAATGCAGTTTATTGCTACGACAAAATCAAAAATTGCGTTATTTACGCGGGAAGAATGAAGCGTATACCATGAGCCATTTTGATTGTATTCCTTTTTTAAAAACAAGCGCGTCACGCAGAGCTCAGTTAAAACTCCATGCGACCTCCATAAACTTTGTAATTCAAACTTAACAGACCAAGCAAAGACCTATTTCCTTTTCCAGATCACATATTCTAGCGAAAAACTTCATCACAGGAAACAAATTCCATAGTTGTATTCGATATTCCGTTTAAAAAAAAATTGCCTTGATTTAAAGATTTGGATAATAGTATTTTTGACCGAGTCTTTACGATATAGGGATTCTCTATTGTAGAGAGATGGCTTAAAGTTTCATTCAAGATTGATCGGGTTTTGTTTCAGCTYGTTGGCTCTTCATTGCGCGCACCGTTTGGTGCTGTTTTGATATCAGTATACTTCCCTTGTCTTAAGACGCCCAATAAACCAAAAAAAATTCAAAAGTTTAGCAAAATTGTGGCGCTTATTTTTGGAGACAGCATTTACTTACGAGTATAATACTTGCGCGATAAAGGCGAAGAAAAAAATCCAAAAGCGTTCAACTGACAACTGGCATTAAAGGAGTTTATTTGGGCGAGGCAATTAACAGATAAGATGTGTGCAACTCGTGGGTGTTGATTGTCGAAAGCAATCTTTAACTTGCTTAACATTATAGTGAAGTGAAGTAGTTGTGCRGCAAAACAGGCCGGRAAAAAATAGCATTTAAAAAATGCGCTCGATATATTWTTCCAAACTCGTCAGATAGAATCATGACCATCCATTTACCAAGAATCTGAAGTTTAAAGAAAGTCCACCGATTATTAAGCGTGCTGGAAGAGAATAGTGTGAAAAAWYMAYAWTWRRAAMSGSMAAMSSSAMYYMAAAAATGATATTTCGWATACAYCGTTAWAAGCCTAARTGTTGAGCTACWATATGTGCTAAATTTAGAAAAATCCGAATATTTTTGAAGTGATACGAACGAGGTTAAAAATATCGCTAAATTTACTCGCAATTATGTTGGAGTTACCTTGACTCAAAGGTCGAGTTAAAGCGTAAAACACANAAAAAAAAAAAAAAAAAAAAAAAAAAAAAAAAAAAATCAACCAAAAGCAACAAGCGATTTGCGCGCCAAAACTGCCATGTAAAAGCATTTCTTTCCATTCAAAACTTTCTGTTTTATTCCAAATCTTCAAATTTGAAAAATTAAAACAATTTATTAGATTATAAATTATTTYTAAATTTCAAAAAGGTGGTTTTATTGTTGGAGTTTTGGAAAATAGTTTGATGACTTTTTTGGCAGCGTTTGTGAAGCTGAGTTCATCATCAACGCATTTGTAGGCATTGGCAACTTTCCTTTTTTCTTGGGTGACTACATTTGGCATGTACTCTGGGGAATAATATTTAAGTGTTCTTCACAGTAGGAAATAAAAAATCATTGTGTCCATCTTTTTTAGATGTCTCGGCTCGTGGCTCTTCAACATGCAAGGTCAAAGCGGTTTTTAAGCCGCGAGGTTACTCTAAATCCCTCCAGGATACTGGAATGAAAYCTCATTATCTRAACTGTAGYGTTGAACRAGGCAAAATAGCCTCCAAAATCCTATGGAAGGTGCAGAATCAAGTCTTGAAGCAAGCATTAGGACCAACCAAATGGTTGGGGCTAACGTTGGACAAGACGAATGTGAGACGTGTGGGAGACTTAAGCTGTGAAGTGATCGTAGGAAACGAAAATCAATCTTGTGGGTTCGCGCAGGAAGGTAATGAATCATGAATAGCAATTCAGATGTTAAACGAGTAGTTTAGCGTTGACATTAACACCCCCATCGTACCACGTACCAACCTATACGCCCCTTGCAGCACGTCCGAATTCTTCGGTTGCACGTTACGTCATCGCGGCCTCTCGGGGAAAATTGATTCATCATTAACATCCATTGTTCAATGGGTTAATTTTCGTATTTGGACTCTTGGGAATGCTTGTAAGCCATCAATGCAGCTCAATTAGGAGGACATAACAATAGGTTTCCATTTCTCAGGAGATTGAAATTCTTTTGTATTGTCCTCCAAATTGAGCTGCTTTGACGTCACATGCAAGGGGTCTATTTGGAGGACATAACAATAGGTTTCCAATTCTCAGGAGATTGAAATTCTTTTGTATTGTCCTCCAAATTGAGCTGCTTTGACGTCACATGCAAGGGGTCTATTTGGAGGACATAACAATAGGTTTCCAATTCTCAGGACATTGAAATTCTTTTGTTTTGTCCTCCAAATTGAGCTGCTTTGACGTCACATGCAAGGGGTCTATTTGGAGGACATAACAATAGGTTTCCAATTCTCAGGACATTGAAATTCTTTTGTTTTGTCCTCCAAATTGAGCTGCTTTGACGTCACGTGTAAGGGGTCTATTCTTGGGATGTATGTTACGTTATTGCCGCCATCTTGGTTGACGATAACAAAGCATTCCTCATTAGCCTCTCTCGTTAGAACAACCAAGATGGCGGCTGTTTTATCGTTATTTATATCTCGAGGGATTTTGAGTCACGTGGTTGCACCCCAAAAATWATATACTTGTATTATAGCACYATATACTACAATTACCAGAATCCCTTGCGCACTTCAGTTCGTTTATTGCAATTAGGTGTATATGGTACGTAATTAAGATTGACCAACTGACTGACTGACTGACTGACTGACTGACTGACTGGTTGACTGACTGACTGACTGACTGACTGACTGGTTGACCGACTGACTGACTGACTGACTGACTGACTGGTTGGCTGCCTGATATAACAATCTCAATCTCTTTGTATTCAGCCCCTCCTCGCATCACGTCCAGAAAACATGAATATGAAGCATACGTGGGAACACCTSTAGTCATACCATGYCGTGCCACAGGTAGACCACAACCTGAAATTACCTGGATAAAAACAACCGTATCAYTTACCACACAAGACATGCCGCCGTCAATCAAACAACTCAGATCACGTGATGGCCTCGCTTTGGTGTTCAAGAAAATATCCATGATGCATCGCGGTATTTACAAGTGTCACGCAGTCAATAGATTGGGCAATGATACGCATTTTGTCATAGTTACTCCTCTATGTAAGTCACACCACATCTAAATATACCATATATCCGTGAAAAAAAMTTAACAAATAGCACAAATGTGCACAAATTAGTAAGTTTAGCAGACCTCAGTAGGACGTAGACCTACAAAACTTTGCACACATTTGTACAATTTTGTTAGTTAACTTTTTCACGGATATATTGTATGTAATCTTGTGTTCTCAGTCTGGCTAAGAAACAGCTTTCCACTGGAAAGACCTCAATTTATGCGAAAGAATAAAGCTAATGAAGAATACAATAGAGGATTTGCACCATCACGTGCCGGCGCCTATAATACAGCTTGGACTRCCTGTGGTTGGATGGCAGAACAATAAAATCCCTTTGCTCTCGGGAATCGAATTCTTTCTCATGTAAAACGATTGTATTGTTCCTGCCATCTAACATGGCTGTTGTCGCGTGATGGTGCAAAACCTCTATAGGTTTGCGGTACATGTAGAAAGACTCAAATTCTCAGTGGTTCGTTATTTGTTGCATGTCGGCGTAAAACGTATCACGTAAATGAATTTCAAAATTCCTGTTTYATTATTTACCTTTAGCGCCCTTTAACGCCGAGTATGTTTATTAGTCTAGGCTAAGGATAATCTTCCTTCGTTTACTGTTCATAGACTACTCGATTCCTCGTCCTCCTCGTGTAGTTCCACTGCATCACGTGGTCACTGTTTCAAAAGGTTCCACTGCTGTGTTGGTTTGTTCAGCTAAGTACACACCTCGGCGTTTCACGGCTCTGTTCTGGGACCACCGTGGCACAAGGGTAACCAACACTGCCAGGCATCACATCAAATCACGGTACTCAGAAAGGATTGTTAAAATGAAGTACAAGGACGAGAGAGTGGATATGTCACTGAGTATTGGTCACGTGGGGTTTAAAGATGTTGGGATGTACACTTGTGGCGTGGTTACAGTTGTAGGACGGCATGAAGATCACGT